AAACACGACCTAAATTCCCTACATTTCATAAATTCTTACAGCAAAACACCCTACATTTCATAAAACATCCTAAATTCCCTACATTTCTTACACCAAAAAAAAAACACCTTCAATCAATTTCCTACATTCCATAAAAAAAAAAGCATATTAAAAATACCCTTATAAAAATAACATCCTTTTTTCGCTTAACTTCCGGTTTGTAATAGCCTCGCTTTAAATAATGTTATTTTTAGTCTAGAAATGGGAGATAACTCTTGTTTTGGAAAAAAAACAGACTAAATTAATTCATTTAAAAATAGGATGAGTTTAATTCTAAAACACGAACAACAGAGATTCGAAGATTATTCGGGCGACGGTATCTTTTCTTCATTATTTTCTCTAGGTAAAACAATAATTCCAAAAGTAGCTAGCTTTGTTTCAAACAACAAATCACCCCTTTCAACCGGAGCGAAAGCGCTATCGGCTCAATCGCGGAAGCTGGAAAGAGTATAAGTGATACAGTGAAACAATCTAACGAGTTGAAAGAATTAGAACTAATAAGAGAACTTCGAAACAGGAGATTAGAAGAACGGAAAGGAAAAGGTTTTAAAGTTATAGGATAAAAATGATTGTCGCTCACTCTCCAAAAAGTTATTTCGGTTCAGGAGATATACAAAAATCATTGGGTTCTCTTCCTGGATTTCCATGGGCGAAATATCCCGGAGAAAAACATCTCCCAGGGCACAATTATACAGGTCCAGGCACTAGGTTAGATCTACGATTGGACGAAAACGATAAACCCAAACCAGGCGAAGAACCAGTCAATAGAGTTGACCCCGCTGCGCTTAAACACGACATACTATACAGAAATAAAGACATAAACTTCAGACACGAAGCAGACAGACAAATGATAATCGAACTTGAAAATATTCCAAATCCAACTTTCAAAGAGAGAATGGAAAGAACATTAATTATAAAACTCTTGAAAGCAAAGATAAAATTAGGCATGGGATTGGCGGATGAAATTCATAAAGAATTTAGAAAAACTAAAAACTTTTTAAAAGTAAAAGTGTTTGAAAAAGATGAAATATGGTCAGCCGATTTAATTCATATGCCAGTCGAAAGAGGATTTAAATATTGCTTAACAGTTATAGATTTATATACGAGATATGTATGGGTTATTCCTCTCAAAAACAAAACAGGTTTATCAGTCAAATACGCATTTGAAACAATAATGAAACAATCCAACAGACGACCTCAAAAGTTATGGGTAGATAAAGGAAGTGAATTTTATAACAAAAATATGAAATCACTGGGATTTGAAATTTACAGCACGCATAATGAAGGTAAAGCTGTAGTTATTAAGAGATATAATAGAACTCTAAAAAATAAATTATTCAAAAAATTCACGGAATTGAAATCTCAAAAATGGCTTAAAATATTACCAGAGGTTGTAGATGAATACAATAACAAAATTCATTCATCTATAGGTGTCACACCAACACAAGCCTCGAGTAATCCAAATATTATAAAGTCAATTAACGCGCAACATGACTACGAAAATGAAATAAATAATTTAAATATTAAACCCAAATTTAAAGTCGGAGATCGCGTTCGTATTTTCAAATATAAAAGCAAATTCGAAAAAGGATACGTTGGATTTTGGACAAACGAAATATTTATCGTAGATAAAGTAAACAGCACATCACCTCCAACATAGGAATTAATCGATCAAGACAAAGAACAAATCATAGGTAAGTTCTAAAACTGACTTTTAAAAATGAATATCTTTCTCGATAAATACGGAACCGATACAACTACAAACTTTCAACTTATGAAATGGGCAAATGAGTTAAATATATCTCCGTTTTATTATTGTATGAGAGATGAAATAAATAATCTCAAATATAAGAAAGGTAAATTTTATGCCATAACAAATATACATACTTCAGATCAAAAAGGAGTTCATCACTCTGCTTTATACAAAGACTCTTTAAATAATTTTTATTTTTTCGATTCTTTTGGATTAGAACCCACTGAAGAGATAGTGAAATTAACTAATAAACCAATCAAATGTTCAACATTTCAATTCCAATTACCGGGTCAAAAGTTTTGTGGGCAATAGGAAAACAGTTTGAAAAAATTATAATAAATTTAACTTAATAAAAATGGCGAACAAGTTTGGATTAGGTTCTTTATCTTTAGAAACTAAAAAACCTAACACTACAACGTGGATAAATAAAGCGAAACCTTACTTTGTGGATCAAATCGGAGACACTCTTCAAGGTGATTTAGATATGAACAATTTTAGCATAACTAATTTAAAGTCTCCGGAAAACGATAATGATGCCATTCACAAGAAATATTTACGGGAACAACTAAATTCAATTGAAGTAAATAAAAACCATTTAGAAGATAAAATAAGTAATGTGAAAAGATTCTTCAAACGTCAACTAAATAATAAAAATTTTGTTAATGATACTAAACTACAACAAGAGGTACAAAGATTAATAAGTTTTATTCAAAAAGAATTAGTCAACGTAGAGAATAAAACTGAGTTACAAAATTTAATTTCATTAATATCTAAATTAGAGGATAAGATTGCAAAACAAAAATTAGACATTCAACAATTGATAGATAACATTCCAGATGAAAATGAAGATACGTTTCAACAGGAATTAAATGCTCTGGAAACTAAACTTAACAGTGAATTACAAAAAGAACTAACAAATATTAAAAAACAAATACAAAACATAGATGATAGCGAAATCAAAACCTATATTCAACAACAAATACAAAACATAGATGATAGCGAAATCAAAACCTATATTCATCAACAAATACAGACCATTGATGATAGTGTTATTCAACAACAGATAACCACTATTAATAACCTAGTTTTGAAACAAGACAATAATATAGTCGCATTAGAAAAAAAGTTTCTCAAGAAAGAATCATATTATTTCAATCTTCCATTTGGAAATTTTAGTCGTGATGATATTTCTATTACTGATAATAGGGATAAATCAATAGAATATGAATTTAAAAAATATGGATTTACAGCAAATATAAGAGCATATATACCACAAAAAAATGATGATCCCTATAAAATGTTTCGTGATTTTTATTTCAAAGGAAAACTTGTAATTGAAATAACTTTTCCTTTACAGGTAAAAGTTGATACAATATTCTTCAAACAAAACTTTCATGCATTAAAAAGATTTAACGCTCGAAAAGTTCTTCAGTTTATCAATGGTACAAAAAATGTATAAACTAAAGAATTAGAAAATACCCTTGAAAACAACAAGCCTCGTTACTTATATGAAATTAAAACGAGTGGAAAATATATAGATAGGTTTAGAATGTTAATCGTACTAGTTAATGAAGAAGATGCTCTTTTATTGAGTGATTTTGATATGTTATTGGAGACGGAAACTCCACCATCAATGAATATTATTAGAAATCCAGAACCACAAAAAAAAGATATAAGCTTTTATGAGTTTTTACGAGCAACAGACTTTGAATACGTAAAACTATATTTTGTTGATAATGATATATTTACCTCAATTGATATTCATAAAAGTCAACAAAATCAAAATTTTTAATAAGAGATGATGCATATGTTAATATATCAATCACTTTTAGAAAACCAAAATTTTCAGTTCATCTGAATAAGATTAATGATTCGAAAGAACAATTATCGTTAGTAACTGTAGAAGTTGTTATTAATGAACACCTATCAGCTTTATCAGAAGTTCACTTAATTTAATTACCTAAAAAATGGAACTCGAAAGTAAACAAAAATACATGATAGAAAAACAAAACGAACTAAAAGAAAAACTAAAACAATTCAACAAATGTAGAAAAACATGGAGTAGAATCGATTCTGTTTTCAAAACATTAAGCACAGTTTTAACAGTAGGAATAACGGTGGCAACAGCTATAACCGGTGGATTAATGCTTCCAATAATTGTCCCAACTGTATTAGCCGCGTTCACTGCCGTTCAAACTTCATCTTGTGGTTTGATTACTTTAGGTTTTACATCAAAACAGAAAGCTCATTATAAAAGGAAAACAGAAATTTTAAATACATATCTTAATAAATTGTTTTTATTTTTCGAAAGATCGAGAGAAGACAACAACATAACAGTTGAAGAATTAGAAAAATTCAATGAAATTTTAGATAAATTTGATGTAGAAATATCATCAATAAAAGTTAAAAATTCCTAGTTAAAAATAGATACTTAAAAAAAAGAATGGATAAAATTTCAGACGATGAAACATTCATACCAGGTGAACTTTTTCCCCATGTTATTGAGCTTATCGCTGAAGAATTTTTATCATTTGACGGACAAATTGAATTAGATGGAAAGATAACTCAAGATAGAAAATACAAACAAGACATAAAATTTGTAGGTTTTGATACCATCACTTTTGTCAATTTCTTCATTGCGCTGGATGATAAATCGGATACTTCTCATTGGTATTTCACAGGAAAAATGTTTTTCGTAAAAACAATTTAAAAGAAATAAAAAAGGGTAGTGGTGTTCTTGTGGATTGATCACTTTAGGTTTTACATCAAAGCTCATTATAAAAGGAAATTTTAAATACATATCTTAATAAATTATTCATTTTTTTTCGAGAGAAGACAAGAACAGTTGAAGAAAAATTCAATGAAAAATCATCAATAAAATTCCTAGTTAAAAATAGAATGGAAATGGATAAAATTGGAAATTTAAACGAACCATTATCTAAAACATATTTTTCTTTAATATTCAATTCAATACCTAATATATTTTCAACCAAATTTAGTGAAAAAGATAAAGAAGAATTTGAATATATAATTGATGATGTAGCTGAAGTTTTTGAAAAAGAGGAGAATGAAATTAAAATATCAACCTCAATTATGCTTTTTTCAGAATTAATCAAGAGAATAACTATTCTATTTAAGGATTATAAAATTAAAGGCCAAAAAAAAAATAAATGGTCAAATAAATCAAAAAGGAAAACACAAACAAGACATGAGATTATCTGGATTAAATGCTCAAACTTTCCAGATTATTTATTCAAAGATGCATGAAACCTCTGATACATCTGATTGGTATTTTACAGGAGAGATTATTTTGCGCAAAAATAATTTTAGAATAGTAGAAAGATCAAAAAAGGGAAGTGGTGTTAACCTACTTAAAAAGATTTATGAATACATAGGAGAAAATTGTTACATACCAACCGATTGTTATTGTTTTATAAAGTGTGTAAATTACATCACGAACACAGATTTAACAAAGGAATTTCAAGATTTCATCAACAGTTTTCAAAAATCAAACAGAAAAGGAGTTATGACAACTGCTAGAATTTCTAAATTCAATAAGAAATTTAATACTAATTTTCAAATCTATAACCCTAAAGACAGTCATTTTCAACCAAAGAAAGTATTAGAGGAATTTGATTGGGTATTTTATTTACACAAAGAACATTTCTGTTTGATAAGAAGAAATAACAAAGCTTTGGGCATTAAAGAAATAGAAGATAATTACGATGAAAATGTATGGAGAACTTGTAAAGATGATGACGCGGTAATGTGTTTCGCCCAGTTAAAACTAAACGTTTTTTCGACCATATCCGATAACTCTTTATACGCTTGGGATTGCGAAACCTATTGCGAAAAAGAAACGAATAAAGCCATTCCTTATTGTTGTACTAATTGTTGTTAATTTAGAAAAACTGAGGAAAAGGTTAGATGATTATAATAATTATTTAAGTGATTTAAGTGATACTCTAGATTTTAAGCCGTCAGATCCCATTTCAGAAGAATATTACAACATACTCATGACTAATATAGTAGAAATATTTTTAGGTACAGATTGTATAGATCATATGTTACAACGTTTAGGAAAAGTAGATGAAAAGAGAACATTGATTTTTCATAACGGTAGCGGTTTTGACAACTGGATTGCACTTCAAAGCGTTAATAAAACTAACACAATGTCCACTAGTAGTAGATAATAAAATTCTTTCTCTTCCTTTATCTAATCCATATACAGAAGAAAGATTGCAGAAAAAATGGAAAAGACAGAAAGAAATAATGAGAAACTCTAACTATTTACAAAATATATCTTTCACCTGTTCATTTAAACATCACAGCACTAGTTTGGCGACCTGGGGAAATTCGTCTAATCTACCGATGAATTTGAGAAAGATCGCCGATATTAATATTGCAAAATTCACCAAAGAAACCTGGGAATCTTTAAGACCCGAATGGGAAACTTACGCTAAAAGAGATACGTTGTGTCTCGGAGCTTGTTTGATAAAATACAATCAAGCAATGAAAAAAACTGTCTTCCAAAACGTTTCCCATAATCTAACATCTCCTTCTTTATCTTTAAAGGGTTGGTATTATTTATATCATTACAATAAAGAAATTGTTGAAGAAGAATGGTATGAAACTACTAGAATGGTTCCGAAACACACCCAAAAAGAAAACGTACAAAAAGTTTACTCACATACTCATCCTTTTATAAGATATTTTATCAGACAAAGTATTAAAGGTGGGAGAGTCTCTGCTAACAGAAAATCATTTGAAACGGATAAAATGAATGAGATCTGCGCCATATTAAAAGAATACAATGAAAGTGACACTGAAGGAATAATAGATTTATTCAAAGAATACAGTGTTAACCCAAAAGATAAAACGGAAGTTCACGCTAAACTCAAAGAACTGGACTATTCTAAACTGATGGCATTTTACGCTAATGGGTTGTACGCTCCCGCCATGACAGAAGGTGAATATCCTAAAGCAGAAAGTGCCAGACCTTTCCGACTAGAGGAAAATGAAAAATTTGTCAAGTTCTTTAATGAACAGAAATTCAGACCTAGAACTGCTATTTTAAAAGTCTGGTTTAAATATCCTACCAACATGTTCTTTCAACCCATACCAGCTAAAGATAAAATAACTTTTACGAATAGAATAGGTAAGAAGGAAACTGGGAGTAAAATCAGGTTCAGAAATGGTTTCTGTCACGACGTTTTAACATCAGTTGATATTCAAGAAATAGTGAAATCCGGTGGTAAAATTATTAAAATATTAGATGGAATAGTATAGGAAGAAAATTTTAAAACTCCCCCATATAGAGATTATATTTTAATTTTGAAGGAATTAAGGAATAAATACAAAAAAGAAGGAGATATGGTTGTTAGTAATTGCATGAAATTATTAGGCAATTCCTTATACGGTAAATCTATTCAGAAGGATATAAATACATATATAAAGACATCTATGGAGTGAAGCGACTTTTAAAGCCAACTATGATTCACACGTCAAAAGCTATGAAAAAGTAAATGAAACTCAATATATCGTTGAGATTAATGACGAAGTAAAAGAGTTTGTTCCTCCAAAGGATTTTACTAGATTAACACCCACTCATTTAGGTGCATTTATATTATCTCCCAGTAAAAAAATAATGAACAATTTCATTCACGTGATAGATGGATTTTATAAGCCTGAAATATATTATACGGATACCGATAGTTTATACATTTCGTCTAGCAATTGGGATAAATTAAATGAAGCTGGGTTGGTGTCTGAAAACGAATATAGCAAAGGGAAGAATGATTACGGTGATGGTGGAATCATATTTGGTTTATATTTAGCGCCAAAAGTAAAATACAATATCATTCTAACTTCCGAAAGGTGTTTTAAAAGAAATAAAAACGTTTAAGGGTTACTCTTACTATAAGATTAAGGTAGAAGACTACATTCAATTAGCTAGCGGACATGACGTAACGAATGAATTTGATAAACCTTGGGTAAAAAGTTTTACTGATGGAATAGTTATTCCAAATGATAAACAAAAGAAAGATTTCAGAAGTTATCTGAATCTCGTTAAGAGAAAAGCACCAAACAGTGAAGGAATCATGTATCCTTACAACAACAAAGATGAGATGTGTTTGGATGATGATTATGTATTTGATGATTTTGATTATTTTACAAATGTATCTAATGATGATCCATCAGAATAAATTTAGTTCTTTTGCTTTAAATGAAGTTGAATAACAATTTCCTCGTTAACCTAAACCTATTTTTACAATCTCTAATTTCCAGATTTAAATCTTTAATCATAAAGGAATTAAGTGGTAAATACGTAGTTTGAAATGGTTTCTCTATCATTCTATATCCAATAGGAACAGTGAATGTTGGAAGACTGTAAATAATCTGACGTTTGTATTTATTGAAAAATCCACCGTTTATCAAATTGCAATGTATATTTATGACATCGATATCATTCTCGATATTAGCTTTGTGTGGTGCTAAAGTGGATTGGGTGTATACTCGTTTATCAAATCCTAGTAACGTATTCAATGAATTTTCTACGTTGAAATCAACTTGACTATTATTTCTTAATATCAATTTTATTTTGTTCAGATTCAAATTACCTTCGAATTCAATATTGTTTTTACCTGCGTATTCAGATGGGTATTCGTTAATGGCTATGTATTCGTAGCTTCCTGGTAGTAAACGTATGGTTTTGAACGTAACTCCGTTATCCGTCGATATTTTTAGTCGATTGTTGTTTTCGTTGATATTTCTAATGGAATTGTAAACAGAGAAATACTTTAATCCCAATTCATATTCTTGATTGCGATCGAGTTCGTACTCATAATCTAGAGACAATTTAATGTCTGATTTATTTGAGGTGATGACGAATAGTTGTTCTTTATTTGACATTTTTAATCACGCTTTTATAATCATTTTTATCTATGATACCTTTTTCTAGGAGTCTTTTTAATATACAATTCACCTTCTTTCATTGCCGCTAATATTACTCGTAATCTATTAAGTAGTTCCTCTTTGTTGTCGGATAAAAACGTTATACCTTCTCCAGATACCATATCTTCGAATTCGTCTATTTCTTGTATGATTGGATAATCTTCTGCATAATCATCTGATTCCTCTTCATCAGGAATAACTTTATTTAAATATGTTTCAACTGCTTTCGATCTTCTTGTTTCGGGTCCCGACTTTCTTATTGCATGTAGAAATCTTGAGTATGTTAGTAAATCCTTGTAATCGGCAGTGCCAATATACCCGCCATTTATTAAATCTATTAATCCTGTCGTTAATGTAAATATTAAGTTTTTTGTGTCGATTTTGAATATAGGGGAATTTGCCCTAAATTTAATTCTAAATACATTAAACAATAACCCCTCATCATCAATGATTGGTGCAATACTCTTTGGTAAATCTGCTTTAGGGTTTGAAAAAAGACGATTTATATCATCTAATGTCCTAATTATAATACCATCATATTCAATCGCTTTGGGAGGTTCTATAGGAGCTATGGGTTCTATAGGAGGGATGAGTCTCTTTTTAATATCCTCTTGAGATTTTAATATGGGTTGAAATAGAGTTTGTAGATTTTCCGTTAATCCGAGTTGCTGTAATCTGTTATTTTCAACTTGGGTCTTTATTTTATTCTTAGCTTTGATATATTCTTTATTTCTTTTTAAAATATTATTCCAATTATCCATTTTTAAAAAATAAAATTTAACAAATGTCTGTCATAACTCTTTCACCCGCAGGTTTTCAAGTATTTACAAATACATATCCATGATCATCTGGGTTTCTCCATTGAGCTTTACAAACTTTTTTTGAATGTATCTGTCCATTCCGTGATTTATCGACTGAATGATTTGAGATAAATCTCTATCGTTTAATTCAAATAATAAAAAACAATTTGCGTTTTTTCTAATGAACATAGAATCCATCCCGTAAAAAGATTGGGATTGGTATATGCAGTGACAGTTGTGATGTCTTCCCTTCGTGAAGAATTCTTGTTGAACAGCTTGATTTCTTTGCGCTACGCAGTCGTCAAACAATATTAACTTCTTTCGTTTGCTATCAATATTAGACAAGTCTAGGGTATTAACATTTTTCGTAAGAAAAACTCTTATATCCGTTGGTTTCTTTCCTTCTTTGTAGTTATCTAAGATATCTTTTATTTCCACTTCTTCTTCGTTTTCTTCCTAATATTGAAATAGGTCTTGAACATCTTTCTTTGGTAGATATTCTAAAGCTTTGAGAAATTGATAATACGATTGCTCTGGTGTTGATGTGTAGATATATAAAGAATCGAAATCTAAAGGTTTGGTGTTGTCAACATGTTAAAAGTGAGATAAGTTTTCCCAGAACCGGAACTACCGCATATACACATGAGCAATGGGTTATTAGGAAATATTTCTGAATGATTGAATTTTTTACCCATTTTTTATTATTTTAATTTGTTCCAAAAATCACTCCTTCTCCTTTATACTTTGAAAGATATATTCCTTCTCCAGTGTGTATATTTTTTAAAAATATTCCATTACCCTTATGTTTGACTTTGACTTCTCCCGTGTCAATACTATCTACTAATTTATTTAATCCTTGTTTAACAGTTTTCTTGGTTTCTTCCCCAAATCTTTTTCCAAATTCTTTTATTGTGCCTATCATTTCTCCCACTCCTGAACCTCGTGCCTCCATTTCAATTGCTAAATTATGTCTGCGTTCTTCAGCAGCTTTAGCATCAGCTGCTTTCTTTGCGTTGGCAGCTTTGACTGCGGCAGATATTCCTCCAGTAGCTGCACCCGCCGCTGCAATACCACGAAATATTAAAGGTAAAAGGAAAGGTAAAAATCCACCTTCTTTTGCATTTGCTTCAATTCATTCTAAATCTATATCGTCTCTGACTTTACAATATTTGTATTTATCAATAAGTTTTTTAGTTATGTTGATTTTTTTACCGTTGAAAGTTATTACAGTTGGTGAAGCTGTTTCAATAGCTTCTATTATTTTCATAACTAAAGTTTCTGCTTTCATTGGGGTGTATTTTTTACTCAATTTTTATCATTCTTCTATCTGCTATTTTAATTAAATGTTTTTTTTTCTTCTAATAATAAACAATAACCTGTTACATCTCCTTGTGTTTTTTCAATATGAATATTTATGTTCACTCCTGTTTTGAAAAAATCTTCTTGGTGAGCTGATAGATCAAAACAGAAGATTGGATGATTAAGTGCAAAATCTACATATTCAAACTGAGGTAGATTTCCAAATAATTCACACATATTTTTATAGTTTCTATACAATTCATTATAATCCTTTGTGGTTGGATTAATTGTTAAAGGTTGGTTAGGATAATTATCGTTGTTTAATCTTACTTGAACTTTATGGATTAAAGGATCTTGAGTTTGGTTCATTGCCACTCTGAAGACATTATTGTTATTCGTTTGAGAACCTGTAAGTTCTTGAAACCAACTATTAAATATCTTGCTGGTTTAATAGTGTTGGTGATTGGCCATGTGGTGGATTCTCCCGTTTAAAGTCATGCTACCTACCGTGTTACGATGAAGAAAAGCTATTTCAATATCTTTAGTTAACGAGTTGAATATTCTCGTTTCTACTTCAATTGATGGTGTTATTACGGGTATGTAAAGTTGGAGATTCGTTATTTCTAATTTTGCATCTGAACCATCCTCTCTAAAGAATATCAAATATCGTCGTTGATTTCTCTTTGTAGATGAATTTTATATTATTTTCTGTGTTCCAACAGACTGAATAAAGGATATAATTTCCAATTTACGTAATTACCCCACCTATTATTCTCAACAATATTATTGTACTGAAGTACTCGTTTTTCAAATCCATGATTAGCTTCTCGTGCTACTTTCTCTATTGTGTTTCGAGCAACAACTCTCACTCTAGCTAAATCGGCATCATTTGCAAGATTTCTTACTGGTTCTTTTAAAACACTTCCATCACCAACATCGGGTATCCAACCCGAGACTGAATCGAAATCTTTAGGATATAAAACTGTTTTCAACATTGTGTCGAATTCCCCAGGATGTTTGATTGTTTCTATCGGATTTGAACCAGCTTCCAAAACCATCTCGCTAAATAAAGATGGAAAGAAATTGTTTTCTAACGTCGTATTTGTTTGTGGAACTTGATTCTGAGTTCCATCTTTAATTTTGAAATTACATCTGAAATAAGCATCGGAAAGAAGCAACCAATTCGATAATGAATTTATTTCGAAGGTAATTCTACCACCATCATTCAATTGGGATTTAGAACCAACAGTGTCTGAGATGATAATATAATCCTCTTTTTTCTTGTTAAACGAATAACGAATCGGATCGTATAATCTAAAGATTGGATCTAGTATTTTATTTGCCATTTATAAGGTTTAAAATTTGAGTAGAAAATTGTTTTTTTTTTCCAAAACAAGAGTTATCTCCCATCTCCAAAAATGACATTATTTAAAAAGAGGCTATTAAAAACCGGAAGTTAAGCGAAACAAGGATGTTATTTTTATAAGGGTATTTTTAATATGCTTTTTTTTGATGGAATGTAGGAAATTGACTGAAGGTGTTTTTTTTGGTGTATGAAATGTAGGGAATTTAGGATGTTTTATGAAATGTAGGGTGTTTTGCTGTAAGAATTTATGAAATGTAGGGAATTTATGAAATGTAGGGAATTTAGGTCTTGTTTTTGGGAGCTCATAGATTGGTTGGATTTTTCCCATGAAATGAAATGGAATGTGGAAAAATCAGAACAATCTATGAGCTCTTATACTACTGAAGTGTCTTGTTGAAATTCAACTACAAGTTCAGCACTTGGGTATTCCAATATGTCAGATTTATTCAGGCCACTTCCCTTAGATATCGTCGATGATATAGATCAATTTGCAATCAGTATACAAAATATAGTGATATGTATTTACGAAAAATACCGCTACGAGCAGGATTTGAACCTGCGCGGGAATATCCCATTGGATTTCGAGTCAAACGCCTTAACCACTCGGCCATCGCAGCTGGGACTTTTTCGGTCCAATAAAGCAAGGGCCTCAAACTTTTCATATCCAATATATAAAGCGATAAGTTTACAGTAACGGTATTTTATTTCATCAGTAAAACAAAAACATAACAGTAACAAAATATTCGAGTTCAACACCCTCTATAAAGCTCACAGAATTCCATACTGAAACTTTGTATGGTTAGATCAAATTCTTCTGTAATTAAGTTGTTCCCATCATCATTTGTTCGCCGACTGTCTTCTCCTGATAGATCCGAAATGATACCATTTACACAATCTTGTATTTCATACCACCTCTTATCACGGAAGGATTGAACCAGACTACGAAAACCTTCAATAACACACTTTCGCTAAATAATTTGGTATCCACCACTAATAAACCTGGTGTCCGTTCTTGAGGATATCTTGTTATTTAGCTCTTCTAGATAGGACTCTGGAATTAAGAATTGCATATTAGTAATGGAAATACCTAAAATTTCTTTTATTAAACACGGTTGGATTGAAAGATAACCTATCTAAATGTTTGTGGTTGAAAAAACTCAAGGGCTTACCTATTTTTCTGAGTTGTTGGACAGAAAAGTCGTGGCTTTTCAAAAGAGAGCGAAGTTTGGTGGCTGCAGCAAGAGTGTCCATTTGATATTGTTGTTGGAATTGAATGGGCAAGTTTGCAATAAAATTACAGAATGTCTATTTGAAATTAAATGTTTTCGTTTATATATCACAAACTTAATCTGAACGAACTCAGATTTTATCCCAATAAATAAATCTAATCAAGAGCCTAATCGGTTCGTTTGATCGTCAGCCCAATAAAGATACCGCATTGACGGTAAATTTGTTAATCTTTGTAAACTAATCACATTTCCGAAACCATGTTTTGATAACCTGTGAAGCCATTCAGATGGAAAAAAGACGCGAACATCAGTCGTAATTAGTTTAGACTTAGATTCTCTCCGAAACGCTCTCAAGAATATCTGTATACAAAGTCATAGAATTTATCATCGGGAAGATTTACTAAGGAAAAGATAACTACGTTTACAGGTAAAAAAAATAATGATTCATTTCAAAAGAGGAACTTCTCTATGGATTTATATATTTCTTTGTATTCCCCCCTCACAAATATAACACATGCTGCTATTTGCTACAGACAAACACTGCGCGTTTTTTCAATCACATAAATCACCAACCATATACAAATCTATTACAGAATAACATATATTCTATCTTAATAAACATATATAATCATATATACAGCACTAATATCATCAGGGACTCCTTTGATCATTGAATCTCAATGCCACCCAGGAAAAACTGACTCAGAAACCTGTGCTCATGCGTAATGCAAAGAGACCCTACAAAGTTTGCGTTGAGCGAACATCTATATATCTATAAATATCAATCCCACACAGAAGTAATGCTGAACATTAAATACATGTATACACACTATAATAACAACACTTATATCATCGTCAATTTAAATCTAATTCAAACCTTTACTCGTTGCATTTTATACCCTTGTTTGTATGTATATACTATTTAAATACAAGCCCAAATTAGGTACTCAAACACCCCGAACCTCATACATGAACCTACATGTCAAGTAATACACTCAAAAAAGCATCTCAAAGCATTTAGAACGCAGGCACCCAGTACCTCTTAACAGTGCAAATACACATCAAAAAATGCACTACGTGGCCATTCTTAGCCTTTTAGAACGCAGACACCCAGTACCTCTTAACAGTGCAAATATACATCAAAAAATGCACTCCGTGGCCTTTCTTAGCCTTTCAAAACGCAGGCACCCAGTACCTTTTAACAGTGCAAATATACATCAAAAAATGCACTCCGTGGCCTTTCTTAGCCTTTCAAATCGCTGGTACACAGTACCTCTTAACAGTGCAAATATACATCAAAAAATGCACTCCTTGGCCACTCTTGGCCTTTTAGAAATCCGGTACCCAGTACCTCACATAGTGCAACTACAAGTCAAATAATGCATCTCAAGGCCCTTAAAAAATGCAGGTACCCAGTACCTAATTACAGTGAAAATACACATCAAAAAATGCATCCCTTGGCATCTAATATATAGCCTTTTAAAAAATTGAATTGCTTTTATCACAAATAAAGGTACAACGTACAGTGTATGCTTGTCTTAGCGCGAATGAATTCATCAACATACATTCAACCCTTTATACTGTACATGATTACATCTGACCACTTTACTCACTGTTAATTTGTTCACATGACAAAGAAAATATTTCACTCTTAATTCGTTCAACTCAAACAGAGTAAAATATATTTCTTTGTATCCCCCCCTCACAAATATAACACATGTTGCTATTTGCTACAGACAAACACTGCGACTACCAAGAAAGCATTATGAATATAGTTATAATACATATTATAAACCTAACGATAACGATACCTTCAATCTTTCCCTAATATCATCTCTTACATACCCATCCTTGGCATTTTCACTTTTCCACCTGCCATGCCTCTTGAACATGCGGTCGATAATTCCATTACTAGCTGCACAAGTGGCTCCCCCAGATCTTAAACTATGTAAGCCAAAATTACCTAATTCATTTGCCTTAACATGGGGGGTGATGGCTTCCTTAAATATTTCATTTAATCTAGAGTACGTCAGAGGCTTATTATCATTTTTCAACTAATAGCCATCTCGACATTTATTCAAACCACGAAAAATATATTCACAAGAATTTTGCTCTATTCCACTAGCATTTAAATACTTAATTAAGCTCACCACTGGACATAATTTTCCACCAGTTTTAGCTATAGGCAACCACGCACCATCCCTATACATATCAGTTTTAGATTTTTCAATAAATAATAACTTATAAGATTCGTGAAATACAATGTCAGTTCTACTAATATTCAATAATTCTGCTGATCTTAAAAAACCTGCAAATGCCAATAACAGACAACATATTGTTCTAAGATTATACAAATTAGGACATTCTGTCAACTTTTCATATATCATATCTAATAATTCAACTGTGACAGGAGATTTCTTTTGAACAGGTTTACTCAATTTCCTCTTAGCGGATTCCAAAATGTTGATCACTAACTTATCATCTGTTGGACTATGCAAGCTTGCTAAATCATGTATATACTTAATGCTATAAAAAGCAGTATAGATAGGAGCAACAGATTGTGCAGATTGGCATAACATCATCAAATAAAGTGAAAAGATAAAAGGTTTAACTGGTAAAGACGGATCAAGTCCGACAATATTAACCCAATTCTTCCATCTATTAAAACCATTTACATATTTCTTCACTGTATTATCTGCCCGTGCTTTCATCAAGAAATCAGGTAAACCATTCGCAAGATGCTTTAAATCATTAGGTAATATATCAATATCATTCTTATAAACATCTCTTAAAGCCTGTAAAATACATATATTACAAGTTAGAAAAATCTACATACAACGCTAGCATATTAAAATTCAAATCACTTTCCCCAAATAAACCCCCGTTAATTCTGCTAGGTGTAAAGGCCTCTTTATTAGTAGGTAAATACAAAACATGTTTTACAAACTTCCTAAAATGCATGCCGTTATAAATCAAAGGCCAATAAAATGCCGACTGCCATTCTGGAACTATTAGAATATATATTGTATGTATGTATATATGTCCAATAACTCGCCCAATAAGATTAATTAGTGGAACTAACCAATTCCTTTCAGAACTCCACTCAATAGTGAATGCATCCACATATTCACAATCTGGATTCCAAAACCTACTATTAAATCTATTACATTTAGTATTGTAAGATGAAGCAAACCTATCGACCGTATACGGTCCCCACACATTATTCAAATGATTAAAAACTACTTGACAAATCCCCCAATCATCATAATCTTTTAAGTGACTTATATAATCTGCATATTCATTTTCATTTCGAGGAATCTATTCAATATCTATACGAATGCTATTTTTCAAACACGTTTCAAAAATAGAAAAGGCAATATCCTGTAATTCACGTTTCATACTGCCCTTATTTACTATTCTCTGTGTATTTTGATTATCAGTAAACCATTTCACTCCATAATTAGTAAGATCTTTCACAAAACTTTTAAGCACCAGATCCACGGCCTTTAATTCACGCCACGTTAAACTTTTTACAGATTCTTCACTATCCCACTGACCATGTGAAATCGCACCATCAATATCAATACAGTAACCACCATAACCAAAATCACTGGCATCAGAAAACACTATTCTAGACGACGAAGAATCGTCACGTAAACTCCTAGAATTCAACTTTTGAATATTACTTTCCCAAAAGTTAATTTGTTCTCGACTTGAAACAGACAAATTAATATAATGGTTCCACGATTTACTATTAACAATGTCAATGGATAAACTCCTAGTCATTAATTGGGCTACAGAACCTATCACTAAATTCATGGATATTATTTTACCAACCATTGATGCTACCATTTTAACTGGAACTGAATTTTGTCTATCTCTTATTACTTTGACAAGTTCCACTAAACGCATTATCTTTTCATTGGGAATGCTTAAAACAAAGCTCTTGGTATCTATAATAAATCCCAACCAATCTAAAACTTGTACTGGATTCCACAAGGATTTTTCTGCTTTAGGTACAAATCCCGACGCTAACAAATCAGATTTGATGATCTCAGATGTCTTGCAAGCAGACACAAAATCTGAAGAACTATTAATATCGTCGTCAATAAATAAAACTATAAAAAGCCCTTTAGAACGCCAATGACGCACAAGTTGTCTTGTAACTTTTGTGAAAACATACGGTGCCACACTTAAACCAAACGGAAGTACCACAAATTTGTAAAATTCATTTTCCCAAGTGGGAAAAACAAAAACCAAGGAATTCACAGTGCTCCTGATATATATCAATATGATGATACGCTGAATGGATATCGAACTTGAACATCCAATCATTTTTCTTAACATACATTAAAAATATTCTCCAATCTTCATATTTAACACTCATCCGCCAAATATGCTTATTTACCAAACTAAGATCCAAAATTAAACGTTTCTTTCCAGAACTTTGAATCGCCACAGATAACGGATCTACAACACGAGGTTTTAATGAACATTTTACAACAAAATTTCTTGCAACTAACTTCTGAACAGCTTCTGTCACAAAATCACTATGCTGGACAGCCGACTTATTATTCTGAATCTGCATGGGAGGAGGAGTAGTATAAAATGGAATTTTATAACCATTCTGGACAATATCGATAACAAAATTACTGGTTTGAATTTGACGCCAAAATTTTACATTTTACATTATCTTTCAGTCTACCTTTAACCCTAATATCCGCCAAGCCTTGCTCATATTCAAAATAATCAAAAGTTAAATTATCACACTTATCTTTAATATCTTCAATCTTTTCATCCACTGAATTGTTGTGACGTAACTGTCTGGGGTTTTCCTTTTGGTGCTTGTGAAATATTGATTGCTGGACAGCAGTGGTTGAAGTCACCACAGTGACAGCAGGCTCCAGTATTGCTTTTGGCACGAAAGGACTGCAAGGGCTGAAATGGTTGACGCCTAACACCAAACATATTAGATGAAGCAACATTCTTGTTAGCATTCTTATAAGGCCCAAAACGGTGGTTAGCTTTCTCTTTAATTTTCTTAACAGCTTTGTTTTCTGCTCTACTAATCCACTTATCGTCTTCTGAATCGTCTGCTAGCTCGTTAACTGTATACTGCCTAACGCTCTGGCAACCCTCCTTCATTTTTCGATCAACAAAATGCAGGCTATTCTTAGAAAAAAAACGCCTCGTAGAGGAATGATATTAACAATTATGCTAACTCTGTATAGAGGAATGATATTAACAATTATGCTACGAACTGGATTCGAACCTTCGTTCGGATTATCCCATTGGGTTACGGCTTAACCACTGGTCTATCTTGGCTCGGTCTATTTCGGCTAAAATTAGCAATGACTCCAACTCTTTAATCTGAGAAACCAGACTAGGAGAAAAACTAGAACACGTGCAGAAGTGTCTTGTTGAAATTCAACTACAAGTTCAGCACTTGGGTATTCCAATATGTCAGATTTATTCAGGCCATTTCCCTTAGATATCGTCGATGATATAGATCAATTTGCAATCAGTATACAAAATATAGTGATATGTATTTACGAAAAATACCGCTACGAGCAGGATTTGAACCTGCGCGGGAATATCCCATTGGATTTCGAGTCCAACGCCTTAACCACTCGGCCATCGCAGCTGAGACTTTTTCGGTCCAATAAAGCAAGGGCCTCATACTTTTAATATGCGATATATAAAGCGATGAGAAAAACTAGAACACGTGCAGAAGTGTCTTGTTGAAACTACAAGTTCAGCACTTGGATATTCCAATATGTCAGATTTATTCAGGCCACTTCCCTTAGATATCGTCATGATATAGATCAATTTGCAATCAGTATACAAAATATAGTGATATGTATTTACGAAAAATACCGCTACGAGCAGGATTTGAACCTGCGCGGGAATATCCCATTGGATTTCGAGTCCAACGCCTTAACCACTCGGCCATCGCAGCTGAGACTCTTTCGGTCCAATAAAGCAAGGGCCCCATACTTTTAATATGCGATATATAAAGCGATGAGAAAAACTAGAACACGTGCAGAAGTGTCTTGTTGAAACTACAAGTTCAGCACTTGGATATTCCAATATGTCAGATTTATTCAGGCCACTTCCCTTAGATATCGTCGATGATATAGATCAATTTGCAATCAGTATACAAAATATAGTGATATGTATTTACGAAAAATACCGCTACGAGCAGGATTTGAACCTGCGCGGGAATATCCCATTGGATTTCGAGTCCAACGCCTTAACCACTCGGCCATCGCAGCTGGGACTTTCGCGGTCACATAAAGCAAGGGCCTCAAACTTTTCATATCCAATATATAAAGCGATAAGTTTACAGTAACGGTATTCTATTTCATCAGTAAAATTAAAACATAATAGTAAAACATAACAGTAACAAAATATTCGAGTTCAACACCCTCTGTGAAGCTCACAGAATTCCATACTGAAACTTTGTATGGTTAGATCAAATTCTTCTGTAATTAAGTTGTTCCCATCATCATTTGTTCGCCGACTGTCTTCTCCTGATAGATCCGAAATAATACCATTTACACAATCTTGTATTTCATTCCACCTCTTATCACGGAAGGATTGTACCAGACTACGAAAACCTTCAATAACACACTTTCGCAAGATAATTTGGTATCCACCACTAATAAACCTGGTGTCCGTTCTTGATGATATCTTGTTATTTAGCTCTTCTAAATAGGACTCTGGAATTAAGAATTGCATATTAGTAATGGAAACACCTAAAATTTCTTTTATTGAAAACGGTTGGATTGAAAGATAACCTATCTAAATGTTTGTGGTTGAAAAACTCAAGGGCTTACCTATTTTTCTGAGTTGTTGGACAGAAAAGTCGTGGCTTTTCAAAAGAGAGCGAAGTTTGATGGCTGCAGCAAGAGTGTCCATTTGATATTGTTGTTGGAATTGAATGGGCAAGTTTGCAATAAGATTACAGAATGTCTATTTGAAATTAAATGTTTTCGTTTATATATTACAAACTTAATCTGAACGAACTCAGATTTTATCCCAAAAAATAAATCTAATCAAGAGCCTAATCGGTTTGTTTGATCGTCAGCCCAATAAAGATACCGCATTGACGGTAAATTTGTCAATCTTTGTAAACTAATCACATTTCCGAAACCATGTTTTGATAACCTTTGAAGCCATTCAGATGGAAAAAAGACGCGAACATCAGTCGTAATTAGTTTAGACTTAGATTCTCTCCGAAACGCTCTCAAGAATATCTGTATACA